ATTGCAACATTCCGTGCTCAACGAGGCTCATGTCGCACGCCCAAAGGCACCCGATTCCAACCAGCCGAACATGTTCTGGCACCACACGCCTTCAAAACATAGGGCTGGCCCAAGGCTGGCCGAGCATCACCACAACGTCACACACTCAACGAGGTTCATGCTGCACGCCCAAAGGCACCCGACTCCACCCCACCTTGCATGTTTCATCATCGTACCAGCCATCAACCATCCTCAAGCCAGCCCAAGTTAGAAGGCAACATCGCAACATTCCATTCTCAACAAGGCTCATGATGCACGCCCAAAGGCGCACCCGACACTACCTCACTGTGCAAGTTTCGCCACCGCACCACTGCCATCAACCGCCCTCGTTCGCCAACCACCACCCCCACACCCCAAGCATATGCCCACGTGCGGCACATAGTGCTTGGGGCATGGGGGTGGCGGAAGATATAGGGGGTACCCCCGTGCCCAGCCAATGCAGATTAGTCACCCCCTATATAGTACATTTTGAGGCATTTTTGGTCTGTCAGACCTAGATTTTTCTGATCGTCATACGACCAAATATATCAAGTTTTAGAATGTTGTTTTCCATGAACTCGATTGATTCATGAATTGGACATTCTAATGGATCTATAAATCAAGTTTCATAATTTTTCAACAACCTAATTTTTTTTAATGAATTTTTAAATATTAAATAATAAGAAATTAGAAAAAATAGCTAGAGTTGTCAAAAAAATCTGAAATTTTGTGGGAATCATGTTTTCATGTTTCTTAGCTCCTAGAAAAAAAATTACAACAAACCGATCACTCCACATGTACTTTCACAATTAATGGGTGATGAATGGGGCACGGGCGCGGACGCGTGCACAGCAAAATGCGGACGGGGCTGGGACGGGGTGCGCGGGAGAATGCTGGCAGGGCAGGGGGCATGCACGCGTGGAAGCACGCTGGCGAGGCGGGGCGAGGGGCACGCGCGCGCTAGAGAACGAGGGCGGGGCGGGGCGGGAGAGAGCACGCGCGGGGGCAAGCGGGCGGGGCGCACGCGAGGGGAAGGGCGGGGCTGGCGAGCGTGCGGGCACGTTTCGACACTGCCCCACCGTGCGCGTTCCGCCACCGCACCACCGCCGTCAACCGCCCTCGACCTCCGACCACCACCTCGACGACCCAAGCATATGCCCATGTGCGGCGCATAGTGCTTGGGGCGTGGGGGTGGCGGAAGATATAGGAAGTACCCCCGTGCCCAGCCCATGCAGACTAGTCACCCCCCTATATAGTACATTTTGAGGCATTTTTTGTCTGCCAGGCTTAGATACGAATTTTCTGAGCCATCATACGGTCAAATATCTCAAGTTTTAGATTGTTTTTTTTCATGAACTCGATTGATTCATTAATGGGACATTCTAATGGATCTATAAATCAAGTTTCATAATTTTTCAACCAACCAGTTTTTTTTTTTTTTTTAATGAATTTTTAAATATTAAATAATAGGAAATTAGAAAAAATAACTAGAGTTAATCTGAAATTTTGTGGGAATCATGTTTTCATGTTTCTTAGCTCCCAGAANCATGAACTCGATTGATTCATTAATGGGACATTCTAATGGATCTATAAATCAAGTTTCATAATTTTTCAACCAACCAGTTTTTTTTTTTTTTTAATGAATTTTTAAATATTAAATAATAGGAAATTAGAAAAAATAACTAGAGTTTTTTTTTTTTTTTTTAATGAATTTTTAAATATTAAATAATAGGAAATTAGAAAAAATAACTAGAGTTGTCAAAAAAATATGAAATTTTGTTGGAATCATTCTTTCATGTTGCTTAGCTCCCAAGAAAAAAATTACAACAAACCGACCACTCCACATGTACTTTCACAATTAATGGTTGATGGTTGTAAAAACAAGGTCATGGTGGATGTCTTGGTCTAATGTACTTGCTGTAGTATCAAAACTCTTCAGTTTATTGTGAAAAGTGAATGACTTTTTTTAATGAGAAGTGAATGTTCATGAAACCCAATTCCCGTGAAAAGTGAATAAACTGTTCATCAAACCCAATTCCTGTGAAAAGTGAATGTTTATTTTTAATGCTTTTATTGTTATGACTTTTTTTTTTTTTTTTGGAACTAAGAAAAGAGTGACACCCGTCAAATTTAACTATTTTTTCTTTTGCTTATCTTACTTTCCACGGATGTTCGGTGTGATGAATTGTTACAGAGGCTAACCTTCAAGGCTTTATACGTGTACTCACGCTTCATAGGCATTGGGTGTGATGTTTTTTTTATGGAGGTAAAATCCAACACTTTTAATATGCTGTTGGTAGGACATGTATTGCACATAGCATAGGATGGGGCTTGGCGTGTACGAGTGGTGAGCACACGGGGGAATGCGGGGGGGCGTGCGGGGGTGTGCCAGGTGAGCGCGCAGGGTGACTGCGGGGGGAGCGTGCGTGAGGGGTGTGCAGGGCGTGCGGTGGCGGGTGAGGGGAGTGCGAGGTAACCTCCATGGGTTTTGGATGTCTTTGATTTTTCATAGAGGTTAACCTATGAAAGGGTTTTGTGGCTAGCATGCGTGCCTTTGGAGTGGGCATGTAGACAAGGGTGTGAACATGGACTTG